TTGTGGTATACTTATATACTTATATGTATACTATTATTTATATTCGGCAAGTCCGATTTACTATATTGTGGCATATTTTTACTTAAATTCGGCAAAGTCCGACTTAGTTCATTAGAACATTATTATATATTATTTTATTCGGTATAACCGATTTTGTGGCATATTTATATTACTATTATTTTCGGTAAATCCGATAATTTGATTTGGCATATATTTTATTATTATTCTCGGCAAGTCCGTTGATTAATTTAATTTGTGGCATATATATATTTTATAATTATTTTCGGCCAGTCCGATACATTACGTTATGGCATATTTGAATTATTTTATTTGAAAATTATGGCTTACTTATAATGTTAATTTTAATTAACTATTTTCTTTGATACTTATGGCTTATTATTATTATTCCGTTCGACTAGATCGACATATTTTTATAATGGCATAATTTTATTCTAATTAACAAACAATTTTATAATATAACTTTTATTATTTCGATCGGCTTAGCTCGACTTCCCTTTATTTATTATATATTATAAAATTACTTTTATTCAATACTATAAGGTGATATAAAATGCACGATACACGAGGTTTAAGAAAATTTACTTCTAAATAATCTATTTTGAAAAATAAATAGTGTCGAATTTTATAAAATTGGGTTTGAAAGAATATTAAATTAAAAAAATTATTTTATTGTGGTACTTACCAAACATGATTTCCAATATAACATTCCAGGCATCTTCAGTCCAAATAGGTCAAACATAAAATGAATAACATTATACTGTCAACATCCACACATCCCCACATCCCTATAATCTTACGTGACAAATTTGAATAACGGACTCTATTCATATGTTAATAACAATAAATCCCTTTGTATAACATATTATGATCTTATTGAATAGCCATTACTTATACAATTACAATTGATACTAATAGAGCAAGCCAGTTAATATTATTAAATAAATTATTTCTTTATAAAATCAATTCAACATGCACATTTAATATATACAAGTTAACTAAGTTGTTACAGCAGCAAAAATAGTGGTCTTTTAAACAGCCGTTATTACGGCTACTCTTATTATAGTATAATTTATATAAAATAATCTTCCCGCAACTAAGGCGAAAGTCAGGCTAATTCAAAGTACCCTATTGTGTATATTTCGTTTTTTCTATATAATAAATGGACACTGAATTTTATGAGATGGTCACTGTGTATGTTTCGCATATATTTTACTGTATACATTAGTACTATTATCGAGCATGCTTAACTTAATTTAAGACACCTATTGTAAATGTATGCAAGTTTTTGACAACGTTTTGGCTACATACATTAGGTTAACTTAACTTATTTTTTATAGTCATAAATAATATTAAATTATTATTATTTTTTAATTCATGAACATTTATCATTTATTGTGCATGCATTGCTTTTAATTGTATTCGGTACTCCAACATCCCCTTTTAATTATTAAATTTTTTTTTAATAATAAGCGTTAGTGTTCTAAACAGACCTCGAGAACACGGAGAATACTCTTTGGGGCCCCGAGACTATTCAAGAAGTCGACGACAGGGCCGGGCTTTTCATAGGAACCGCTTGGTAGCCGACTATTGAGAGCCCACACGAAGGAAGCTCCTCCAACGCTCAAAAGCTTGTGAATTAAGGACTGTGGACATCAAAGACCCAGAGGTTCTTACTACGACACTAATGTCCCTCCAAATTTTTTTTTTTATTAAGGTCTAGGGTCAGACCTTAAGTGTAGGGGGAGCAGCTGATACGATCACATTTGCATGTGCCCATATCTCTGTCTCCCATAACATCGTTGTACCGTTTAATATATATATATATAAAATTAACACAGTGACATACAACAATACTAACAGGAGGGCGAACTGCACACATAAACACTTTTTGCAATTCACGGTCAATGTGCCATAATAAGATATCCCTATCAACAGTTGACCTTTTACCATCTTCGCGATCGTCAGCTCCCTGTTGGATTATATCATCTCTAGGTGTCCAGCAGGTTGTATTATCTATTTAATAAATATTTATTTATATCGTTGTTAACCTAAAGTGTTATATATATATATATTGTAGTGCGACCCTTGGTAGTTCCTCTAAGGGAATATAAATTAAATAGGAAACTTCAGTACCTAAGGTAGATATAGTCTAGCCAGCTATCCCCCGTTGGTCCCTTAGAATACTGTCAACGGGCATTTAGGCTAAACCCCTAAATAGCGACGTAACAATACATTGATTTTTTTCAACACAATCAAATTACAATGACGGTAAAAAAATTCTTTCGTCGGTTGGCAAGGGCCTTTAAGTGTTGTCTTTCCAAAAAGCATATTATTTTATTATTTCGTTTATTTAAGCATTATTTAAGCATATTATTTATATTATTTCGTGGGACAGCTGATCACCAGAATCTTGCTTTACTCACCCCCTTGACCACCCATTACAGAAAATCGATGACTTCCGTGTCGGTTTTCATCCATGTATAGTTCATTGTCATAAGTCAGTCTGTCAATTGTTTTATGTGTCAATTCTTTTCTGTTGCAAGCGCCTTCGCTTGAATAGTAAATTGTTCGGCCGTTGTACGCCATAGTTTCTTATTATTTGTTTATTGCACCCTTGTGCTCAAATTTTACGTGTCCTTGCAAGCCACTAGTGATTGGGCCCTAATCATCACTAAACATTATCATTGCCGTAGTCTGTTCTCATCTGCCATTACGTGGCTGGATTTACACTCTGACTCTTCATACTCAGATGTTCGACACCATTACCACAAGATCTCATACAGTCCACTCATCACTATCAACAACGTCATCTATACAGCTGAGTTTTATATTATTTTTAATGTTATTTATTGTTTGTTTTAATTGAGATTAACTATTTGTTTTATGCCGCTTCTCGCGGCCACTAATATCTAAGGGTGCCTCGTTACCCCTTAAATTTACGATACTCTCTGAGGAATTTCTAATATATATGATATTTAATTATTGTCTACTTTCGTTTACTTATGGAATGTATAGTTAGCCGTCATTTCCTAGGTGACTCACTCTCGCATTAATAATAAAGTTTTTTAAACAGAATTAAGGTAAAACGGCATTCTAGTGCGGTGCACAACAAGTCGTCCTACGGTCTAGCTGCTTCGTACGCAACAGTATCTTTTAAACGGGAATCCCATTTTAGTTATTTAATGATAATGTAAATAATAATAATTTTAAACAATAATATTCTCACAATAAATTGTTATATTTATTGGCTTTGATGCAAAGCTGAGAAGGTATTAATTTTACTAGGATAGTTTTTATATATATATTTTATTTTTATAACTAGTCAAAAAATAGAGACATGAATAAAGCCTAATAAAGAAAAAATCAAGTCCCAATTTTAAATTTTAGATGACATTAAAAATATTTCCTTTTTAAGTTATTAAAATAAAGTTTTAATACAGCAAAAATTAATCAATATTTTTCTCATTTAGCAATTCAATATAAAAATTTAAATGACGAACAAAAATGGCAATTAAAAGAAGATACAACTAGAATGGCTGCAGAAAATGGAAATTTAAAATTGTTAAAATATGCATTTGAAAATGGATGTCAATGGGATGAAAGAACAACAGAAGCTGCTGCAAATAATGGTCATTTAGAATGTTTAAAATATGCTTATGAAAATGGCTGTAAATGGAATCAATTCATCATTGCGACAAGTGCGATTAGAAAGGGTAATCTAGAAATATTAAAATATGTTCATAAAAATGGATATGAATTCAATAAAATCACAACTAATATCGCTGCAGCCGGTAAGCTAGAAGTTTTAAAATGTGTCCTTAAAAATGGACATTCGTGTAATGAAAACACAACTTATAGTGCTACCATAAATGGTAATCTAAAAAATTAAAAATATTTACATGAAAATGGATGTCTTTGGGATGAAAGCACAACTTATGGTTCTGTCATAAGTGGTAATTTAAATATTTTAAAATATGCACATGAGAATAAATGTCCATGGAATGAAAAAACAACAAGAGCAGCTACTGATATGGGTAACATAGAATGCTTAAAATATGCTTATGAAAATGGTTGTAAATGGGATCCAGTCAAAATTGGCAAAACTGCGAATTTTAGAGGAAATCTATAAATATTAAAATGCGTTCACAAGAATAGTTACGAATTCGATGAATGCACAACTAACTTTGCTGCAGCAGGTAATCTTGAAATTTTATAATATGTTCTTAAACACGGATATCCTTGCAATAAAATTACAACTTATACAGCTGTTTTTAATAGAAAACTAGAAAATTAAAAATATTTACATAAAAAAGGATGTCCATGGGATGATAGAATAACTTATGAGGCTGCAATTCAGGGTAATTTAAATATTATAAAATATGCACATGAGAATGAATGTCCTTGGAAAGAAAGTACATCAGAAGCAGCATCCTTAAGCGGTAATTTAGAATGTTTACAATATGCTTTTGAAAATGGTTGTAAATGGTATGAAGGCACAACTCGAGCTGCTGCAGCAAGTGGCTGTTTGGACATCTTGAAATATGCTCATGAAAAGGGATGTATTTTTGACAAAGATACAATAGTGACAGCAGCTTTGCATGGTAATTTAAATTGTCTAATATATGCCCGAAAACATGGATATGATTGGGTGGAAGGTACAATGAGAGGGGCTGCAGCAAATGGCAATTTAGACTGCTTAAAATATGCTCATGAAAATGGGTGTTTATGGGACGAAGGAACAACGAGGGAAGCAGCTGCGAATAATAATATTAACTGTTTGATATTTGCACATAATAATGGGTGTAAATGGGACGAAGGAACTATGAGTGGAGCTGCTGCAAATGGAAATTTAAACTGCCTAAAATATGTGCATGAAAATGATTGTGAGTGCGACGAAGGCACAACTAGACTTGCTGCTGCAAATGGTCAATTTCGTTGCTTAAAATATGCTTATGAAAATAATTGTTCATGGAGTATAGGTACCATTTCTGAAGCTGCTCGAAATGGATATACAGATATAATCAACTATGCTACTAAAAATGGTTGTCCTAATTAATATTCTGTTGAAATATCCAAATTTTTATTATAGTTATTCATAGCAAATAATTTTTGGAAAAGTGATCTGGAATTAAATTATTGACGGGGTAAATTGTATCTAAAATTTTATTTAAGTCTATATAAAAACAAAATTTCCAATATTTTCAATTTTTAGTTTTAGTAAAATCTCGAAAAAAAAAACAAGTAAAATTAATATATATATGAGTTTCCACATAAAATGTTTAATACAAATAAATAATTATTTTAATTTAACTATATGTTTTATCTTTTTCTTAATCAACTATGCTACTAAAAATGGTTGTCCTAATTAATATTCTGTTGAAATATTCAAATTTTTATTATAATTATTCATGTCAAATTATTTTTAAAAAAATTAACAGGAACTAATTTATTCAATGTGTATATTGTATCTAAAAAAAAAACTGTTTAAAAAAAAAAATTTCCAATATTTTTAATTTATAAATAAAAGTGTTTGTATAAATTATTTGTACTGATAATAATTTTTAGAAAAAATCTCGAAAAAAAAGCTACAATATATGTATATCAGTTTCGACATAAAATGTTTAATAAAAATAAATAATTATTTTAATTTAAGAATATGCTTTTCCTTTTTCTTAATTTAAAAATAAATAAGTAATTTTTATACTTTCAAAAAGATTNTAAGAATATGCTTTTCCTTTTTCTTAATTTAAAAATAAATAAGTAATTTTTATACTTTCAAAAAGATTTGTATTTAAATCAAAATATTTTTAAAATATTATTAAAGGAGCCAATTTTTTTCTTCATCATCTTTCATGATCTATCCAAACTGGTAGCGCGACTATTTAAAACGTGACACGGCAATGTGCCCTACTCTAGATCGGCATCACTCTTGTCTCTCTCTATATCAGCCGTTCACCTATCAATATTACAATCAGTGGTCATAGTTCATCTCACCACCCTTGACAATGTGACCAGGCCTCCGCCGACTGTGTATAGCTGATTAAACGTTCTGTTTCATTCAAAAATCACCTTATCTGATTACTTCGATGCGAAGCTGAGAAGGTATTAATTTTACCATGATATGTTTTTTATGTCTGTTGCCACTTTTTCTTAGCTCTCACTGGACCGATTTCGTTGTATGTAGTTGAAGACATTACCATTAAAAATTGAAAAAATTTCCCTCGTTCCCCACAAATGGGAGAAATATCCAAAAAAATTACAATTTTTAAAATCGGTAAATTTTGTAATTTTTTTTTGTTAAAACTTCCATAACTTTTTCAAAAATTAACAAATCAACACAACTTTATTTTATATTGAAACTTAAGATATTTTTCTATCGTTTTTTTTGAAAATTGGACTTTAAACCTTGCTACAGTGGTGATTCAAAATAGCAGCTTTTACACCAATAGTCAATTTTTTCAATTTAATTTTTGAAAATGTTCCAGAAATATTTTTAAATAATCTTAAATTAAAGCTTATATTATATACTTAACTATGAAAAAAAAAAATCGAAATATAGATTTTCTTATTAGTAAAAATGGATACCGTATTCAAAAATTTGCTATTTTTATGTTAAAATTCTAGGTTTTGTATTTAATTTGTATTTTTAATACACTTACTTTTATGAATTGAAATTTAATTGACAAAGAATAAAGTTTATAAGACATAATAATTTAGAGCTATATAAATTTTTTTTTACTTTTTTTGAGCCGAGAAAAATAACTTTGAAATTGGAATTGGCTTAAATTGCCATTTTTTTTAATAGAATTAATAACTAAAAAAACGTGGGGTTACAGTCATGTAGTTACGCAGCAGTTAGGATAAGTATAGATAGGTGTCGTTGAGTTGATTTCCAAGACTTAATTAGACTGTATTTATTGATTGTCCGGATCAAATTATAAAACGTACGAGTTGATTCACAATAAACATATGAATTCATTCTTAAAATTTAGCCTATTTTAACGATATGAATTCATAATTTTTCATATTTCAGCCTATTAGCGTTACCCAGGAGATACCACGATGAGGTTGGCTATTAAGTCTCCCAAAAAATTTGTTTAGCTTCGATATGAAGCAGAGAAAGTACTTTACTCTTTTATTGTCTTGAGATAAAAATATTTAAGTTGAATTAACATATAATAAAAAATGTAGTCAATTATCGTCAACATAATTACTAAGATCAAAGTTTTTTAAAGGAGACAACGATTTGCTGTTCATTAAAAATATAATTTTTATAATAAATAGTTCTACTTAATTATTAGTTTTGTCACACAAAATGCAATAGAAATAATAATGTTTGTAATCATTTAGTCTATACTCATCAATTATACAATCAGTTAACACATGACGCAACATGTAGTGCATAACACCCATTAAATTCTACTGTGATATTCTATATACTTTTGGCAATATAAATAAATGTTTGCCATGTCACCTGAATTTTCTAGCAATAAACTTTTTAATTTGTTTCTATAATTAGTGNTCTACTGTGATATTCTATATACTTTTGGCAATATAAATAAATGTTTGCCATGTCACCTGAATTTTCTAGCAATAAACTTTTTATTTGTTTCTATAATTAGTAGGGTTGAACTTTTTATCAAAATGTGACTTATTTATTATTGTGATAGCGTAGTATATTATATAAACTCCACAGTTATTGAATCAGTGATACTTGAGGAAATAGTTTTTTAAAATAAGTACAATGTTTTTTTAACCCTCTGTATAATTATTGAAACTTTTGCTGATTGTATTTTGTATTTTTAGTAGTTTTTTTCGAAGTTATACCTATTTTTCTGTTCTTTTTTATATTAAAATCATAGATATTTTTCTTTAATTTGATATACATTTTTTGAAAATCTGACTTTTGACCTGACCAAAGGGGGGATTCAAAATAACAATTTTTACTCACAAGTTTTATTTTTTGAACATTTTCCGGAAATATTGACACTTTTATTTAATCTTATATGAAATACTATACTATGAAAAAAAAATTCGAGGTATAGTGAACATGGTTATGATAACCATGAATTGAATATGATATTCAAAAATGTGTTATTTTCGTGTTAAAATTCTTGGTATTGTATTTTAATTTATTTTAATATACCTTATAATTGGGTACAATGATTTTCATGAATATTATATAAAACTAATTTATATAGAATATAAAGTTTAAACATGTTTCAATTTTTTTTTCTTTTTTTTAAACAAAATTAATTTTACACATTTGAATTAGCTTAAATTGCCAATTTTATCATAAAACGAATGCGACGAACGTTTGTCTATTTAGTAAAAATCATTGTCTATAATCATTTGATTACACAAAACAAAGCTATGTTTTTACAATCTTCTTAACTCCAATAGTAATACAATTCAATAATATCATTTTTACTATTTTGATAAACGTTTACAAAAAAAAAAAATAATTTTATTTTTTGTTCGATTTTCCAGCAATTTAAAAAAAAAACTTTGCAGAATGACTTTTTACTTTCCTATGTATATTTTATATTTGAATTTATATTTTGAATTGAAAATCCGCGTTCAACTTCCGACGATATCATTGGAATGACGGCTAATAATTTAAATAATTTAAGTACTTCCTTAAATAAATCGCTCATATTATTTGTTAATATAAAGTTAATTATAGGAATAATTACTTTTAATAAGCACAAATCATCATGGCTATAAATAACCTCAAGTTCAGTTCTTAAAGGTTCTTTTCTAAAGAAAGGTAAATAATCAATTGGGAATTTATTGTTAAATTTTGGGTGATATTCGTCTTGAAAAAACAACGCTGAAGTTAGATGTTCATTAAAACTAAAACGACTTTCTGCTTGAGTTATTAAAACATCATATAAATCCAAAGCAATAATTCTTTTCGTAATGTTTGGGTCTTCGCTAGTTTTTTTTTTTATTTGAATGTATTATGTCTGATTGGTTTAAAACTGTTCACAAAATTTTTATAAATTTTAAATTTATAAAATTTTTAGGGAAAACCTCAGTGACCACCGGTATATCGTGTACAAGTGCGAAAAGCCATCCGCCGCGAGACGTGCCCCGCACGCCGTTCCGCGACGGGTGAGTGGGCTGGCGGTTCAACTCCGTAGATTGGTCACACATCCTAAGAGCGTCGGACGCGTTTCGGGTGCCTCCTTATCTTGGACAGATGGTCCGGTTGTACCTTAGCAATCGGGTCATCTCTTATGAGAGCACCGCGGACCTGATAATCAGATACGTTACGAGCGACGTCCCGCAAGGGTGAGTTCTCGGGCCACCACTTATGACGCGGTGTTCCGCGTTTCGCAACCAACGCACGTGCGTGTCGTCTGCTACGTGGACGACACGCTGGTGGTGGCGGAAGGTGCCTCGTCCGAGAAGGCTAGATCTCGTGCGAACTGCGCATTCAGCGGTCTTCTTCACGGGCAAGTATAAGTTCACTGTGCTGGGGGTAGAGATCCCGCTTAAGGACTCCATGATTTATCTGGGTCTTTTTTATTTTTTTTAACAGTCGGTATTATTGTGAGCCGCCCTGGAACTGCCGTTAGGCATTACTTCAGGGCTGCCCACGCCATCTCGATAATTCACATCACCACGTTGAGAATCACCCCAAAATTAATAAAGAGCTGATTCGCAGAGTGGGAATCTTTAGGAAGGGTAGGCAAAATAATTCACAAAACATAAAACACAAAAACAAGAACCTAAGAACCTCTTGTACTGGGCGGNAACTAAGGCACTGGTTTAAACTAGCACCACAGGTTCTCTTGTACTGGGCGGCGTGGCTGCCTCTGTCTCAGGCGTTCCGCTTCCTCCTTCCTTTTCAAAAGTGCATCTCACCAATAGTAAACGCCGGTTGGCACCAAGGACGAGTCTAGGATCCATCACTCAGCTGCTTCACCTGAGACCAGCATTAGGCCATAAACCACAAAGTCACATCAGTGATAGTTTTCGGCTATGCGTCATCAACTTATGTCTCAGCAATCACCTTCCCACCATGAGTTGGTGCACTTTAGTCCGCGCTAGCTAGGCTATTGGTTGCCACCCTGGTCTGCCGGAGA